TCACAGCTCACAGCAACCTCCAACTCCTGGGCTTAGGTGATTCTCTTGCCTCAGCCTCCCGAGTAGCTGGGACTACAGGCACCCGCCACAATGCCTGGCAATTTTTTTGTTGCAGTTTGGCCAGGGCCAGGTTTGAACCCACCACCCTTGGTATATGTGGCCGGCACCCTACTCATGGAGCCACAGGTTCTGCCCTGAATTTATTCTTGAAGTCAAGCCTTTTCTTCCACAGTGATACTTTAAGGTGTGGAGAATGACTCTCTTTCAAGGAGAATAGGTTTCACTGTGGTTATAGGAAATTAAATTTTAGCTTTGGTACAGATAGGGCTTTCTTTTGGTCAGAAACCTCCATGTTAATTTCTTTCAAGTATAGAATAGACTGGGCATATTGGATCAGGAGCTGTTTTGTTGTTTTGTTTTAAAGAAAAGCCATTTGCCATTTGCTTTTTTGGCTTCACAGATACTACTTGTACAACCTGATGTTCCAGACCTGGAAGACCTACATACATCAGCAGCAGAAGATGAGGGACAAGTACATCAGAGCTGCAGGCCATTGTAAGAAGATGCCCATATTTACTTTTTATTTTATTTTATTTATTATTTTATTATTATTATTATTATTTTTGTAGAGACAGTCTCACTTTATCACCCTTGGTAGAGTGCTGTGGCATCACACAGCTCACAGCAACCTCCAACTCCTGGGCTTAGGTGATTCTCTTGCCTCAGCCTCCTGTGTACCTGGGACTACAGGTGCCCACCACAACGCCAGTCTATTTTTTTGTTGCAGTTTGTCCAGGGCCAGATTTGAACCTGCCATCCTCGGTATATGATGCTGGCACCCTACCCACTGAGCCACAGACGCCGCCCTTTTATTTTATTTTTTTGAGACAGAGTCTCACTGTGTTGCCCTTGGTAGCGTACTGTGGGGTCATAGCTCACAGCAACCTCAAACTCCTGGGCTTAAGCAATTCTCTTACTTCAGCCTCCCAAGTAGCTGGGACTACAGGCTCCTGCCACAACACCCAGCTATTTTTTGTTGTAGTTGTTATTGTTTAGTTGGCCAGCTCCAGATTTGAACCTGCCACTCTCAGTGTATGTGGCTGACACTGTAACCACTGTGCTATGGTCGCCTAGCCTATTTTAATTTTTTTGAGACAGAGTCTCAAGCTGTCACTCTGGGTAGAGTGCTGGGGCATCATAGCTCACAGCAACGTCCAATTTTGGGACTCAAGCAATCCTTTTGCCTCAGTTTTTCTATTTTTAGTAGAGATGGAGTCTCGCTCTTGTTCGGGCTGGTCTCAGATTTGTGAGCTTACTGGCTTGGCGCCTGTGGCTCAAGTGGCTAAGGCGCCAGCCATGTACACCCAAGGTGGCAGGTTCAAATCCAGCCCAGGCCACAAACAACAATGATGGCTTGAACCAACAAATGGCCAGATATTGTGGTGGGCGCCTGTGGTCCCCACTACTCGAGAGGCTGAGGCAGGAGACTCGCTTGAGCCCAGGAGTTGGAGGTTGCTGTGAGCTGTGATGCCATGGCACTCTACCCAGGGGGACAGCTTGAGGCTCTGTCTAAAAAAAAAATAAATAAATAAATTTGTGAGCTTAGGCAGTTCATCTGCCTAGGCTTCCCATAGTGTTAGGATTATAGGCATGAGCCACCAAGCCCAGCCTCCAAATTTACTCTTGCGGAAGCTTTTGGAAAGGACATACACATTTTCTCTGAGAGAGAATAACTCTAGGTCAAAGAGAAGATTTGATTCCCTTTCATATTTTTCAGAATGTATGATCTTTGAGTGGGGACTTTAAGATCAGTTTCCTTTGGTTTTCTCCATATGTCATTGGGTACTTAAAACTTATTTAACCAGGATTTGTGTAAACTGGCTGTCCCTGGTCTGCTGGTGCAATGTGCTAATTGTGTTAGTCCCATGGTACATGAGGGGGCAGGCTGTCTTTCTGCCATGTATCGAATTGCAGAGCTGTAGCTTATTTCTGATCTGCTTTGCCCAAGTTAGTGATCCTGTGACTAGTTAAACTGTGGTCATTGTATGGTTTCTCTGTGAGTTGAGCCCAGAAATCCATGTATGGAGTCTCAGGAAAGAAGCCACTTAGTTTCAAAATGATAGTACAGCCTGCATCGGCAGTGGCCTCACAGACATTCCACCTCTTCTACTTTCCCAACCTAAGTGAGAAGCCTTACTTGGGAATGGCTTTTACATTTCTTACGCCTTGTATCAACAGTTACTGAATCTTACAAGATAGCCTTCTGAGGCATCCCTTGCAGTCACCTTTTTTTCTCTGCCACTGCCTATAAGTAATCCTTGTCTTTTCTCCAGAGTGTTATAAGTACCTCTTCATTCATCTCCCTGCATTTATTTTCTCCCCCTTCTCATTGTACTAATAGCTACAAGAGTGGCTCATATCTGTAATCCCAGCACTGTGGGAGGCTGAGGGAGAATCGCTGAAGCTCAGGAGTTTGAGACTCGCCGGAGCAAAAGTGAGACCCCGACTCATGAAAAAAATGGAAAAACCCAGCCTGGTGCCACAGAGAGCGCCTGTAATTCCAGCGCTTCCAGAGGCTGGGGCAGTGGGATCCCCATAAGCCAGGAGTCTGAGGTTTCAGTGAGCTACCAAGCCATTGCACTCTGCTCAGAGGCACAGGGTGGGACTCTTGTCTAGACAAAAAAAAATAAATAAATAAAAAATAAGCAGTGAAATAAAATTTAAAAAACCTAAAAAATAAAAATAGAAAAACTAGCTGGGCATTGTAGAGGGCGCCTATACTCCCAGCTACTCAGAAGGCTGAGACAAGAAGATCTCTCAAACCCAGGTGTTGAGGATGCTGTGAGCTGTAACACCATAGCACTCTACCCATGTAGACAGAGTGAGACTCCGTCTCCAAAAATAAATAAATAAATAAACAAATAGAACTTGAAAAATAAAGTTACCTCTATTGACAGACAATTTGACTGTCTATACAGAAAAGCCCATGGAATCTATAAAAAAGCTCTTAGAAACATGAACTTAGTGAGGTTGTAGGATATGCAAGATTCACATCTGAAACTAAAAAACTTTCAGATGAAACCATAAAGGAAAATCTCTGTGACTTTGGGTTAGGCAGAGTTCTTAGAAATGACATCTAAGATATAATTTTAAAACATAATCTATAAAATCAGAAAATGAATAAATGGGACTTCATCAAAATTAAAAACTTGGCTCGGCACCTATGGCTCAAGTTGCTAAGGCATCAGCCATATACACCTAAAGTGGTGGGTTCAAATCCAGCCTGGACCTGCCAAACAATAATGACGACTGCAACCAAAAAATAGCCGGGCATTGTGGCGGACACCTGTGGTCCCAGCTACTCAGGAGGCTGAGGCAAGAGACTCGCTTGAGCCCAGGAGTTGGAGGTTGCTGTGAGCTGTGATGCCATGGCACTCTACCCAGGGGGACAGCTTGAGGCTCTGTCTTAAAAAAACAAAAATTAGAAACTTTTACTATGCAAAAGAGTCTTAATATTAAGAGAATGAAAAGATAAGCCACAGATTGGAAAAAATATTTATAAATCATAATTTTAACAAAAGACTTATAATAGAATATACACAGAGGGTACCAAAAAAGGTATACACATTTTAAGAGAGGAAAAAAACTGTATTAAAATTGTCATACTCAATATATACTGATAACTAAAGATGAATCCAGGTTACACTGAGCACCTCTTATAATTGTAGCAGTAAATGTGACTTGAGTATTACAAATTTTTTTTTTTTT